GCTAAATTAATTTTATACACACACACACAGACACATATATATATATGCAGTAGTAAGAAAAAATGTTTATGGGCAAATAAGATCCTGGATTTTCAATTAAATATACTTCTTGCTCAGATAATAAGAAGTTGTTGCAGTACACTGGCAATTCTATAATAAGATTTAAGTGAAAGCTAGATATATAAAGTACTCTTTCTCTTCCAGATACATAGAGATCTCTGTCTGTTTATGGAATCCACCCTGGCCAACAGTGGCTGTCATAAATTCTTCAACTCAGCAGGCTTTATATGCTATCATATAGCAGCCAAATGTTTGCTAAGAAACATCAGCTCTCTTTGATGTGATTTGCTTTTGCTTTCTTCTATTGTGTTGAACAAATAGCATCAATGCCCTGTGTTGTGAAAACTGCCTCCTTCCTATTCTGAATAACTTTCTGAAATCTGCTGTCTTCTTTAAAAGGTATTTATATAGCCCCTTGAGTATATAAGATCTCAGGGTTAGGTTTGTTTTTCTGTCCTTGGTGTCCTTCTTTCTCTTCTTTCATCCTCTCCATAATATCTGATGTTCTGTTCGAAGAGCTCATTGATTCAGGGATTGCCTGCCATTTGTACCTAAACACTTCCTTGAAATTCTGACACACCAAAAGTACAGGAAAAGTTTATTTTCCCTGATTTGAACCCCATTGGCTGCAGGGGGGTAGTGTAGTAATCTGTTACTCTCCTGTCATGTAGAATATGCCATAGGCTTGCATGGCAGGGAGTCATGAGCCAGTTATAGAAGTTCCAGAAGTAGACCTAAAATTCCCCATTGTGTGCTGGGAGATGGCATGTCACCATTGGAAACTACTCCTATGAACAGACTCATCATCTTTGACACATCTCCAAATTTTGAATGGAGTACAGCAATGAACTATCTAAATGATGCTTCTGAACCCATTGAACTGGACAGAACTATTTGGCTCATTACCAGCTAGCATATGTGTGTGTGTGTGTTTAATCCCATAGATCAAATAGAATAGCTGAGTTCCTGCAACATGCTAGCCTAGCCTACATGGGGTTGGGTATTTGTAGTTCAGTATTATGTGAACAGGCCACAATTTAAACCCATAATATAAGTTATGTACTTGGGCATCAATATTATGTGAACCCAGATTGTTTTTTTCAACCCAGATTTAAACATGTTGTGGGAATCCAGCCAGTATGTCCTTTGAAGATGCACTGTTTCTGTTGATCTCTGAAGCCACACACTACATCCAATATGTAAAATAATTCAACTGCTTAATTCAATTATTGTAATGGGATATTGATTTTATTGACAAAATCTATAGAGAAAACATATGCTAACTCACATTAGTCTTCTCCAGAAAAGAAGTAATAGGTTATTGGGGATGGCATTAACAATTATTCCCAACTGAAGATGCTAGATAGCTTGTTTTATATGCCAAAACTTTCTTGTAAATTCCAGTCAACTTACAGTAGTAGGAGCTTACATATTTTAATGCTTGCATAGAGAAAGAGGGACCTTTTGTGGAAGGAAAATTTACTGTGCTAAAGAACAAGGGATTAATGTAGACTTTTTTTCTGATGGACTAAATTTCAACATGAAAGGAGATATTTTACTAGTGAGAGAATCCGAGCATACGTTCACCCCACTGCATTTGAAAACTGAGGTGGCTTTTCCAAAGGAATCATATTGTGTAGTATATTTGCGTGCCGTAACTGACCACTTCACAACAACACCAATGCGGATCCTTTTTTCACGCTTCACAAAATAAGAGAAACATTGATAAAATGAAATAAAGTCCTTCGACATTGCTTCTTAATAGTAAAGCAAGATGGATTCAAGTGGGAAGGTAGCTGATTTGATAACAGTATCATTTTTTAATTTTGGTTCTGTTCCAGCATGGTCCAGATTTCCTGGATTACTCCAGCCAGATTACATGCCGATTCCCTGATTGCAACCTAGGAAACCCTTTGAGTGGCTGGCCTGCATAATTAGACAGTCTTCAGTTTCACCGTAGATTGATCTTTATAATTTTGAATTTTTATTTAAATACATCCTAAGCTACGTTAGTAGGTGTAATTGTGAATGCTTGTGCCTCATTAAGAAGCCTTTTCTCTTTCTTCTTTCTCTTCTCGCACTTTGCTGTCTCTCACATTTGGCCAGGGTTCTAGAAAGATAGCTCTTACATTATGAATAGACTGTTAATTCATTCTGCTCCTTTCAAATGGACTTCTTTTCTGTAGTCACAAGAAACATGAAAGAATCATTCTTTTTATTTTGCAGGCAGGCTGAGCTAAACTGAGCAAATGTGGTAACAAGAGTACCCTTCATCATATATAAGTGAACCTCACTGGCTCTGATTTAAGAGTAATGAATATGGTGTTGAAAATCAGATACCTTAACTGGCATCTCTAAAATCTACATGCTTAGGTGGCCCAGTTCACAGTAACAAGTCTTTCATGGGCTCTTATGGATCTCTAAACTCAAACTGGTATTGATTAACTTTAATTTTTATGTTCTACCTTCTTGCCCTAAGATTGCTATGATTTCAGAGTCACCTAAACTTTATCATTATTGCATTAATCATTATTTTTAAGATTATAGTTTTTTTTACATTTTTTTCCTCTGGACCCAAGTGGATATTTCATAATGCTAGCAGAAGATAGTATTTCATGCATCTGATAGCAAAACATGTCAGGCTGCCTTAATGAACTCATCGAACTATGAACAAATCTGTTCCAAGTATAGGATGCTATTGAATCTTCAGAAGGAACCTCCCACTTGAACTTAACCACAGTTGACAGACACAGGGGCAGTTGCAAGGCAAGGTGGGAGGGGGCACTCCCATTATCCCATTAGCTGTTAGTTGGTCTACTTTTAAATAAGACTCAGTGTTCTAAAAAGAGTCTCAACCCAAGGGTCTAACCAAAACTTATTTCCTCCCTTAGCCCCGTCCTATGGTAGCTAAGGGTTACTTATTTATTTGTTAAATTAATATGGCTGTCCACTCACTCTGCGTGGCTAATATCCATTTAAAAACAACAAAAAGATCACGAGAACAAAATTAAAACACTTCACCTAAGACCACTCATATATCTACATAAACTGTGTGTGTGCCTTCGAGTAAGTGTTTGGATCCTGGCAACTGCCTGGACCAGTCCCTGCAGTTTTCCTGGCAAGATTTTGGAAGTGGTTTGCCAATGCCTCCTTCCTAGGGCTGAGAGAGAAGGACTGGCCCAAGGGTACCCAGTTGGCTTTTGCCTAAGGTGGGACAAGATCTTATGGTCTCCCAGCTTCTAGCCTGATGCCTTAACCACTACACCAAACTGTCTCATATCTACATAAATCAGCCCCCTGAAAACTGGCACACCTAGCATCCTTCTCTGATGCCTGAGGGAAATGCCAGGTCCTCAGTGCCTTATGAAATGCCAGAAGAGTTGTCAGAAGGTGTGCTGTTCCACAAGGTAGATGCAGTGACAGAGAAAGCATGCCTCCTCAGTCCCATCACATTATGTAGTTTAACAGAAGCAAGCTGGAACATGCCCATCCTGTCAGAACTTGTGGGGCTGGCCAAGATAATTGGAAACAAGTGACCCCACCAATAACCCGGCCCTGTGCTATAAAGGGCTTTACAGGTGACAACCAACACCTTGAATTGCACCTGGAAGCTTAGTGGAAGCTAGTGCAGCTCCCAAAGTAGTAGTGCTATCAAGGTGTGCCTGTAATTATCTGTGTTGCCTCATTCTGGAGGCAGCTGCAGCTTCAGAGTAGTCTTTAAGGGCAGCCCCATGTACAGCATGTTATAATCCAGACAAGAGACATGAGTGACCATGAGCAGGGCCTCCTGACCCAGGAATGTGCCCAGTTGGCCAAAGCTGGATTTGTGTAAAGGATCTCCTAGCCATGGCTAACATCTGCTCTTTGAGCAGAAGCAGAGAGTCGAGGAGCACCCCAGGTTGCATACCAGCTCCATTGGGGGTGGGGGGTGGGTTCTACTCCATACAGAATTCATGGTAGAAAACATATCAAAACTGGGGATCCTTAAAACCCACAGCCACTTGGTCTTAACAAGGTCAAGCCTACTCCTGTTCTTCCTCATCCAGACCCCTCAACCTAAGAAAAAATCTTGATGGCATCACAGCACCAGGGTTAAAGAGTTATTTTTTTTGCTAATGAGTACTTCAGTCTTTCTACTCTTAACAGTTATGGTTATATAAATGCACATGAATGATCAGATCATCCCTTTTCAATTTAAGAAATTATTTTGCTGTAGAAATTCCAAGCAAGACACTGGAGAAGCGCATGCTGTCATAACTTTGTTAAAAGTTTCCAATCAGAAATGCTTAGTTGTTTCTGAACGAAGATCTTGCTTCCAACCCATCTGCAGCCCGGGGAACATGAAACTTACTATCCCAGATTCTTGTTGATAAATCCCATGAAAGGAAAACGAAACATTGTTCATTGGCCGCGTTCCCTCTTTATGTTAATCTGGGAGGCTTTACATATCCCCTCCCAGGAGGCCTCTCTTAAGTGACTCTCCAGCTTGAGCTGTCAGAAACAGAGTGGGCAAACTTTACAGGGAAAAGTGTTTCTTTCCACAGGAGCTGCTACAGTTTTTTAGAAAGTGTTTTTGTGCACAGCTTCAATTCAGAAGAAACTGCTTTGGGCTTCTGAAAAAAATTGTGGCATGACTAATATGAAGAGGAGTAAAGTTACGCTTGCCCTGCTGTTAGGACATTTTTGTAACTGCTGTTGGTCTTTCAGAGTCTGCACAGACAAAAAAAAATAAGTATCAATATTGCAGAATTCTGTTGTATGTTTGGATAACTCTATGGACCTTGATTATGAGAATTCAGCAAACCATTGCTGGAAGAATAAATGATGTGCTTTCAGTTATAAGTGTTTTCTGCACAAGGAGTACCTCTTCTCTGGCTATTAGCTTTGAACATCAGATGAAGGACAGACCTCATTTCACAAGAAGAAGAAGCACATGGACCATGGACCAAGCTGGAAGCCCCAGGACAGACATCTATGTGTTCCACAGCTTTGACTGTGACAGGCACAAAGATGAAGGTAAGTTCATTATTTCCTGAAGTTAATGTAAGTGTTATAAAAGCATAACTAAAAAAAATACCAAGTGATGTTAGGGTTATTTTATTACCTGAAGTCAATTTCCAGTCCATGTCAGGCTGATTAAATGTTCCTAAAGAAATCTATGTCCTAGTTCATCCAAGGCCCTGAAGTCTATTTCCTGGGTTCAGCTTAAAAATCCCTGTTACACTGTCTGGGAGAAAAAAATTGCCAGAGACTAAAATCAATAGACTTCTTGGAATTTCTTTTAAATCATAGAATCTTTCTTTAGTTTAAGAAAAAAAACAACAGCTTCTGAATGTGTCCTCAACCCTGCTTCCATTGATCAGTTTTTCTGGGGAAAATGTTATCTGACAAGTTACTTAGGTTGTGAGAAGTCAAAGAAAAAAATTTGCAGGACAGTTGAAGTTTGGTGGAACGTTTTTGTCACAAGCATATTTTATGCACACACAGAACATTTCAAATGCAGGTTGCTGAGATATGGGGACATTGCTTGCTATTGTTTGGATGACAGTGTCTTGGAAAAGACCTCTGAAAATGTCTGTGATAATGGAAGACGGACTGTAACAATCTGGAAGGGGTGAGGATAGGGAACCCTATGTTACCATGGTCCTTTGGGCATAAATTCTGCAATGAAAAATGCACCTGGAGTAGAATTTTGCCCCATCCTTGGTCAAGAATTTTGTCTGTAGATTAAACCTTATATTCTCATGGGAGGTAATTACACTGGAATATTCATAATAAACTCTCTAGACATAGGTGTCTATTACAAGCCATGAAGATGTCATGACCATCATAACATCATGTGCTTTTGTATCCAAACTAAATATAATAATAAGAACACAGTGCCAGTCAGTATATTCCAGAGACAGGTAACTCCCATGATACCTTCCAGATGTTACTCCCACCAGGATGGACAGTTGCATAGGAAGTTTGGAATTGCAGTCCTGAGCATCTGTAAGGCACCAGGGTCTGTCTTTGATAAATCAATTTCCTAAAGATTGTTCACCAAGACTATAGAGCTGTATTCAGCACTCTTAAAAACTAAAAAAAAAAAACCTTTGAAAACATACCTTATGAATAATGCAAATGGCATTAGGAAGTAACAATTATCAGTGTATAATGCTTGATAAAATATTGAGAAATCTAACCTCAGAAGTTTGCCATCTAGTGGCATTTATTGAAAATTAAAGAAAGACTGGATGATCTTGTATATGTTTTAAGATGGTTTTCTCTCTGGGTAGAGATATAAAGGTTTTATATTGTGAGTTTATATTTATAGAGTGAAATCCAAACATGGCATTACTCAGTGTGGACTCATTGAAATCCCTGGGATTTAAATCAAGTCATAGAACCATTTAACATGTTGATTTCAATGGACCTGCTACAATGTAGGACTGAGTTTGGATTCACTCAACATGTAGTATAATTGTGGGAGGGCAGAATGGGGGGAGAACATTATGGCCTTGAATGTAAAGATGGGAGGTGACTACTTGTGCTAAAGCCCTAAGCATATTTTAGTAGAAGAAATGTTGAACATATTTTATTTTATTCATTTGTATATTTATTACTGTTTTTTGGGTGCTGCTCTATTTCAAAATGCCTCTAAGCAGCATATGACAAAAATAAAGTTTTAAAACTTCTGAATAGTGCTAAATAATATATATTACAATAGCTCCACCCTCCTCCCAAAGTTGAGCAACTAGTTATTGCTAGGTCACACAGATTATATTACCCCATAATGTGTGTTTCATTCATTCATTTTTAAATCATATTTACTCCAGAATATATACAAATCCACTCTTTATAGATTAGTAGTATATATGGAGGATGCCAGTATGGCTTGCTCAACAAACTACACTTGAAAAAATCCTGGCTTAAGATGATGCCAAACCAAGCCAATATTGATGGATTCTGTCAGTCAAGCAGAGCTGAAATGAACATACTGCTGTTTACTGCAATGAGAAATTAGTAATTGCATGACTGTAGCTTAATTCTTGATGGCTTCTCCAAAGGTTTGGTGATTGGTGACCGCTGAGCCTGTGCTGAGAGCATTAGACTCTGATTTGGAACATCTGAGACCAACCTAGCCATGGACATCTGAGAAGTTACACTAACCCATTCAAGATGACTGTGCTTGTTGCAGGAAAGATTCATTAGGTTGTTTATTTATGATTTTCTGCTGAGTTGGGGGATATTAGATTTAACATCACCTTTCAGCTAACCTCTTCAGTGGTTTGACAATGTTCATACATTCAAGTAGGAAAAGCTGCTTTCTCATCAAATGTGGAAACTCAGAAGCAAAAATAAAAGATTGCAGCAAATGACAAATGTCAACTTGTTCCATATATTGCAATGCAGTTTTAATTCTGGAGAAGTCTGTGCAATGCTTCAGACTCAGTTTGGAAGAGGTGTTTCAGAACGCACAGGAGTAGTCCCCTCAAACTCAGAGCATTACACAGCTCTCAAACTGAGCTTTTTGTAGGCCCTTCAGACAACTTCAGGGATTTTGAACATGAGCTTTCACCACTAATAAACTGATCCATCAGCCACAACTTGTTACGTATATTTACTTACTTGATGCAGCTTCTGGTAAGATTTTTTTTTAAGCCAGAGAAAGGATTTCATACTTTAAAAAAAATTAACAATAGAAAGAAAAGTTCGCTAATAAAATTATCAGTTTAAGTCACTTGCCATATAATTCCAACTTTTTTATACGAGGACTAGAATCTTTTAAACATTAAAACTCAGCAATATTCTGATACTGAACAGAATATCCCAAAATTTGTTTTATCCTTCTGACCAATTGTTAAAAATAATTTGTTAAGAAACTGTTTTCTCCCAACCTAGCACTAATCCAAATGTGTTGGGAGTGTTGGGAGTAACAATCTGTTACTGTTACAGAGTACTTCGGCTCCTCTTATCACTTTGACTGTATCAGGGATATTTTGAGATAAAACAGAAATTACAATTCAGAATTTCAGAGTGGGGAATCATTTGAAATAGATTTCTAATTTAAGATCTCGGTAGAAGAAAATATTTTTTTATGTCAGAAGTCAGCAATACAGCACTTGCAGGCAATAGGATATCTGTGACACCCCTAAATAATATCTAGGAATCCCCGAAGTTCAGTTTTCTTTAATATTAACTTTTAAAATGGCAAAAATACATGAGATTGCTAAACCTTACAGAACCTCATGAGCTCTCATATGAAACCATCAAGTTCATAAGATGTTGTGCAAGAATGACAAAATCTCATAAGATTTCTCAAGGGTGAATGTGTCACAATCTTATCCGACTTGATGATTTGGGGTATTAATATATGAGGAGGGAAGGGAGGGCTGTCTAGGATTTGTTCAAGCTTTTCTGATGGTACTTATTGCCTAAAACCTGCCCCAAGCAGAATTCTCTTCATGGTTCTATTCTTTTGTTATTACCAATCATTGCAGTCAGTTAAAGGTTGTAGATATCTTGAACATTTGTGGTCGCGCTAATTCATTTACTTTAAAACTTGCATTGCCCTTCTTCCCAAGAGTGGGGGCAATGCTTATATTTTATAATTAAAACTAAGGAGGAGGTTAGTTTGAGACTGCCCAAAGAGATCCACTAAGCTTTTTAATTAACTCAGAATTTAGACCTGAGTGACTTTGATCATTATCCACATCGCAGGTGGGCAACCTAAAACCACCAAACCTCATGTGGTCCATGAAATTCAATTGTTACAGATAATGGACCTCCCTCAAATTGCTTTACTGGATTTTAGAGTATGGTTGCCTAAAATTAGTAGCATGGATCCTTGGTCTGTTGAGTCAAGAAGCGTACAAAAATTGCAGTGCAATCCCTAAAATTGGCTAAAATAAATTTAGAAGGGAAAAAAATATCCAACTCTCCTAAAAAAACAAAACAAAAAAAACCTTGAAAATTGAAAATATGATTCCCCATACATAACTGGCATAACCTTAAATCAGTATCCCCTACTCTCCACTATGGTTCTCTCCCCCGGTCTTCTGCACAAAGTTTGTCTTAGTGTACATTATAGTTTAATACATTCTTGAAATCCTGCTCAGTGTAATTGGAATGACTATAGGGTTTTTGCACTTCCCAGTCTTCAGTGTTTGCTGAAGCTTGGCACCAATAATATAGCGCTATAATGGCAATTCTGGGTGGATATCCGGTTGGAGAAAGATGGCCTCACAGCATCTTCTCTTTTTAGAACATGTTAACAATCTCCTTTGTTCCATATCAGCTCCACGTTTCTATTGAGTCCCCAAATTTTTAATTTAAATTTAATTTAGTTCTTTAAATGAACGTAGATGATGCCATCAACAGCATAGTCACACTTTGAGGAGAAATAACACTTTCTTTAGAGCATGATACTTTTTGGCTGTTTCTAAAATGAAACACATTGTTTAAGTTTCAACAGGTTTAGGCAAGTCCTGTTTTTAGCTCTAAGGCTTTAGTGCTTCTTGGCAATAATACAGGTGTCAGGGGATCAAGCTAAGCATCTCCTATTTCACAAACTATCAACAAGTAGGGCACTGATGGCATGGAAAAGCCATTATATATAAAAGTAATTAGAGATCTTACAAAAGATTTCTATAGATTGATAAGTCATTATGCTAGTTATGGAATTCAGGTGGCTGTAGTCCCAAGAGTATAAACGAACAGGAAATTGTAGTTGACACATCTAAACATTTCAGATTTAAAATAGGGATGGGTGAATCAGTTTTATTCCATTTCTATTTTTTTTGCCCTTTTCTTATGTTCATTTCATCTTCTTTCCATATTAGTTTAGATTTTAAGGCTGCAAAGAATGTTTAATCTATTTGATATGTATATATATACACACAAAAAACCCCACATACATATACATACATGCATGCATGATTTTTTCACTAATATAATGCATTTTTGTGTGTACATTTCCCTATTTTATTAAAAACAACTGCATTGCAAAATTTAGAAAATGCAAATATTAGCAT